CCCAGCTACTTGGGAGGCTGAGGCAGGAGGATCACTGAGTCTGGAGATTGAGATTGCAGTGAGCTCGGGTTGCACCACTGCACTCCAGCCTGGGAGACAAAGTGAGACCCTGTCAAAAAAAAGAAAAAGAAACAAAAGAAAAGAAAGAGGCCGGGTGGCCAGGTGCTGTGGCTCACGCCTGCAATCCCAGCACTTTGGGAGGCTGAGGCAGGTGGATCGCCTGAGGTCAGGAGTTTGAGACCAGCCTGGACAACATGGTGAAAGCCCATCTCTAATAAAAATGCAAAAATTAGCCAGGCGTGGTGACGGGCGCCTGTAATCCCAGCTACTCGGGAGGCTGAGGCAGGAGAATTGCTGGAACCCGGAAGGTGGAGGTTGCAGTGAGCTGAGATCGTGCCATTGCACTCCAGCCCGGGGCCAACAACAGCGAAGCTCCATCAAAAAAGAAAGAAAGAAAGAAAGAAAAAAAAAAAAGGCCAGGCGCGGTGGCTCATGCCTGTAATCCCAGCACTTTGAGAAGCCAAGGCAGGCGGATCATGAGGTTAGGAGTTCGAGATGATCCTGGCCAATATGGTGAAACCCCGTGGCTACTAAAAATACAAAAAATTAACTGGGCATGGTGTCGCGCACCTGTAGTCCTAGCTACTCTGGAGGCTGAGGCTGGAGAATGACTTGAACCCGGAAGGCGGAGCTTGCAGTGAGCCGAGATCGCGCCACTGCACTCCATCCAGCCTGGGCGACAGAGCCAGATTCCGTCTCAAAAAAAAAGAAAGAAGGAAGGAAGGAAGGAAGAAAAGAAGGAAGGAAAGAAGGAAGGAAGGAAGGAAGGAAGGAAGGAAGGAAGGAAGGAAGGAAGGAAGGAAGGAAGGGAGGGAAAGAGGGAGGGAGGGAGAGAGAGAGAGAGAAAGAAGGAAAGAAAGAAAGAAAGAAAGAAAGAAAGAAAGAAAGAAAGAAAGAAAGAAAGAAAGAAAGAAAGAAAGAAAGAAAGAAAGAAAGAAAAAATAGTTTGTATTAGAAGATTTTCAAAGTGCCAGGAAACCATCCCACTCCACCTCCTTTAAAAAAAAAAAATAGGCCGGGCGCGGTGGCTCACGCCTGTAATCCCAGCACTTTGGAAGGCCGAGGCGGGTGGATCACAAGGTCAGGAGATCGAGACCATGGTGAAACCCCGTCTCTACTAAAAATAGAAAAAATTAGCCGGGCGCAGTGGCGGGCGCCTGTAGTCCCAGCTACTCGGGAGGCTGAGGCAGGAGAATGGCGTGAACCCGGGAGGCGGAGCTTGCAGTGAGCCGAGATTGCGCCACTGCACTCCAGCTTGGGCGACAGAGCAAGACTCCGTCTCAAAAAAAATAATAATAATAATAATAATAATGCAGCGTGATGACAAACACCGGCTCTGGAGCCAGAAGCCCCAACTAAAACCCAGGCTTCTCTATTTACTAGGCCTGCTTTCTTCCTCCTCACTTTCTTCATGTGTAGAGTAGGGGTCACAGCCAGCCAGCCAGCCTGCCTTCTCTCCTAAGCTTTTGGGGAGAAATAAATGGATTCATAAGAAACGACATATTTGTAAATAAAGCAAACGATCGACGTCGAATTCAGGCCCTCTAGCTTTATTATGCTAAATGTCAGTGTACTACTTAAGTTGCTCCTTTCAGCGGAGTTCACTGTTTCTGCCCAGAAAACCGGCCTTGGCCCGGGAAAACCTGGGCTTCCACACTGGGATGAAAGGTATGGACGCGCGGATTCACATATGCAAAACGTGGGGGCGTGGCCCCGGGCTCCCGGCCAGGCAGGCTCCGCCCCCTTCCCATCAAGAGCGCTTGGATCCACCCGGCAGCCGCGGGTGAGTGGTCGTCCGGCAAGTGAGCGATTTGGTGAATAGACACCTCCTTCTGTAAGTAAGAACATCTCGGGGGGAGAATTAATGGAAACAGCACTGTCATCCCTCGGCCTCAGCAGTGTCGCCTCTCTCTTCCCGGGTTCGGAGAGCTGGGGGCGGGGTCCTGGCTCCGCGGACCTGGGCTACACTCCCAGCTGCGTGAGGAGCTCTCCCGCCGCGCCGCAGCCCGCGTGCTGGGACTCACCCAAGTGGGTTTGTCTGGAATTCCCATTTGCAGCCTTCTGGAAAAGCAGATTAAATAAAATCACCATTCTCGTAAAGTGCCAGCACCTCCTATGGTTACACCCCGCGTTCACAGATTTTAACTGCAAAGGCGTTTTAGCACAGAATTCCAAATTCCAATCCAAGGATGGAGAAAAGGTCCTTCACTAGTGAGAAAAAGGAAGGTGAGTTTCAATTTAAGAGAGCAGGGACTTTTTTGGGAACCACTTCAAATTTAGTTAATTGAAACTAAAAGAAAACACAACTGCGCTTTACAAAAACACTGCTGGGAAGAATACCTAAGTCATCAAATAATAAATAAATAGTGTGACATCTATTTACCAAATCAATGTCACCTCCGCAAATGTGCAAAAGGTTGGTACTTTCCGAGTGCTTCAAGTTTGAAAAGGGTAAAGATATAATGTTCTCTAAAAGTACTCTCAGGCCGGGGGTGGTGGCTCATACCTGTAATCCCAGCACTTTGGGAGGCTGAGAGGGGTGGATCACTTGAGGTCAGGAGTTCGAGATCAGCCCGGCCCTGCCTCTACTAAAAAGGCAAAAATTAGCCTGGCATGGTGGCGGGCACCTGTAATCCCAGCTACTCGGGAGGCTGAGGCTGAAGAATGGCTTGAACTTGGGAGGTGAAAGTTGCAGTGAGCCAGGATTGTGCCACTGCACTCCAACCTGGGCGACAGAGCAAGACTCTGCCTCAAAAAAAAAAAAAAAAAAGTACTATCATGTGTTTTGCTCCTATCAATATGGAAACATTGGTGTCTCCTGTGGCAAAAGGTGTTTTTCATCAAGGCACATATATTAAATAGACCAAAACATAACTTCCCAAATATCTTATAAGATTATCCTAGTAGTAGCTGAAATGAACAAAAATACCAATTTCCTTCAGTCATTATTGGTAAAACACCAACAAGACTCATAAGGTTGTATAATGGTAAATGCATACACATTTATTTAACATGCACACAGGGAGACTCAGAGTGATTGATTACCCACCTTGCAACATGTCTGGGTAGCTTATAGACTACCCTGGCAAATAAGGTTATGGGAGGGAGGAGAAGAGCAGTTCTGTTGAGGGGCCTGCTAGGGAGAATGAATGGGCCAGGGGAGAGAATAAGCTACAGTATCCTGTGAAAGGGTCTGTTCAGGTGTGGGGTATATTCTTGGTCTACCAGGGAGGGGAAAAGAAACAATTGCTCCTTTTGGTGGGTCTGGATCTTTGGCAGGTAAAGGCTTTGCTGAGCTGGGAGCAGGGAAGGTCAGAGAGACCTTGAGGTCTCTAGCATGTCAAAGCCCCATATTTTGGGGTATCGGCTTCTGAGTCCCACCACTTAATAGTGATGAAACTGGTGAGTCTGTAATAGCCAGATCAAAGAAGAATCCAAAGAATGGGTATGTTTGTAAATCAGGAATATTGAATAATGAAATATATAGAGATCAGGAATATTGAAACTGGTTTTCCATGGGGGAAAGGAAGACTGTTGTCCTTCACAGGATAAACCTTATTTGCATGTCTATAGACAATAATTATTTAACATTGCCGTCAGTTGTTAAAATTTACAGAGTTGTCAAATAGCTCCAATGACCTCTAATTTTTCTTTAATCCAATTTTTTCCCTACAATCCCACCTTCTCTCAGTGCATTTAATCAGATACTTCCACTGCATCTCAATGACTAGATGGTCAGTTGACTTTCCTTTTATGTTTTGTTTGGGGTTTTCGAAGGTTTTTTTTTTTTTTTTTTTTTTTTTGAGATGGAGCCTCGCTCTTGTTGCCCAGGCTGGAGTGCAGTGGCTGGGATCTCGGCTTACCGCAGCCTTGACCTTTCCGGTTCAAGCGATCCTCCCACCTCAGTCCCCCAAGTACCTGGCACTACAGGCACACACCACCACACCTGGCTAATTTTTGTATTTTTTTATAGAGATGAGGTCTCGCTACTTTGCCCAGGCTGGGGTCAGTTGACTTTCTAAGCTGCTCCCATCAGTTTCATGGTTTTCTTAGGTATATTCCTCCTGCTCTACCTACGACTAGATTGATCTGAACATAGACATAACAGAATACACAGAATTTGGAAGGGAATGATTAATTTACCAGCAAATACCTCATGCAAATTAAAAGGAATGATACCATATATGATAAAATAAAAGCTGAAGCATCTTAAAGATCACTTGGGCTGGGCACAGTGGCTCATACCTGTAATCCCAGCACTTTGGGAGGCCGAGGCAGGCCAATTGCTTGAGGCCAGGAGTTCAAGAGCAGCCTGGCCAACATGGGAAAGCCCCATCTTTACTAAAAATAAAATTTTAAAAATATCACATTTCTGCTCTTACAAAAATAAACAACAGAACTATTCTGGCCCACATATTGAATATCTGGGTCTAGTTCATGTCTTTGGAAGTTGTGTGGAGTGCTTTATTTCAGCAAAGATTTTTTTTTTTTTGGTGGGGAGTATGGGGATTTACATAAAGGATTATAAATGGATGATAAGGCTGCTTTGTAGTTTTTTAAGAGTCTAGGTCACTTAGCACAAAATTCTATAGATGCTAAATTAGGTGACTTTAGTAAGAATAATCAGGGGCAGGCCGGGTATGGTGGCTCACACCTGTAATCCCAGCACTTTGGGAGGCTGAGGGAGGCGGAGCACTTGAGGTCAGGAGTTCAAGACCAGCCTGACCAACATGGCAAAACCTTGTCTCTACTAAAAATCCAAAAATAGCCAGGCCTGGTGGCAGGTGCCTGTGGTCTCAGCTACTCAGGAGGCTGAGGTGGGAGAATCTCTTGAACCCAGGAGGCAGAGGTTGCGGTGAGCAGAGATTGTACCACTACACTCCAGACTCCAGACTCCAGCCGGGACAAGAGGGAGACTCCATCTCAAAAAAAAAAAAAAAAAAAAAAAAAAAAGAATAGTCAGGGGAAGGTGTTATTCATTTGTCATTTGTTTATCTCTCTAATAACTTGTGTTTCAGAAAGATCTGAATCTGGGTGTCTGCTTTTTTTTTTTTTTTTTTTTTTGAATGGGATTTCAAATGGCATTGGCTGCAGAAGAGGGTGGGCCCCGGTACATAAAGCCACCAGAAGCGGATGGGCTTCTGCGTATAAAGCTATTGCTCTTGGCAGCTCTGTCTGAAGGAGGAGGATAAGAGACTCCAAGGAGAGGAAAGCGATTTTCATAGTGGCAGGCAGCAGAAGGAGCAAAAGTTGGATCTGAAGGCAGGAAGCCAGCTTGGTTCTAGAAAGAAAGAAACCGTGGGCACAGAAAAAACAGGTAACTCAAGGGATCCTCCTGCCTCGGCTTCTCAGATTCAGATTCCATTTGTATTAATTGAAGAATGTTATATGTGGCCAGACTTACAAGGTTGATTAGCCTGTCCTAGTTTTGCTTTATAGGCACTGTTTTCATCAGCAATTTTCTGGGACAGACTCACGTTCAAAGAACCTGTTCGGTTTTCCTATTATATGGAGGCCTTGCCCTGATGTGGAATTTAAATTTAAAATAGTCATTGCACCACTAGAAAAAGTCCAGAGCTACAGAGAGTTGTGCACAGTAAAATGCTTTGAAGGCGGAGAGTAGGATGCATTTCTTTAAATTGAGGTATAATCTACATACAAACAAAGATTTTAAGTTTCAGTGTTTATAATTGTATACCACCCGTGTAACTATATCCCATCAAGATACAGGCTATTTCATCAACCCAGAAAGTTGCCTCCTGCCCTTTCACCGTCAATTCTCCAAGATGACCACAATTGTGATTTCTATCAGCATGAAGTAGTTTTGCCTGTTTTGGACCTGGAGTAAATGAAATCTTCATGGTACGTCCTTTTTGTGTCTGGATTCTTGTACACAGGATAATGTTCGAGTTTGGTTTATTTTCTTCCGTGTATCAGTGATTTGTTTTTGTTTTTGTTTTTGTTTTTCAAATTTCAAATCATCTTTATTGAAGTACATCTTTTTCTTTTAATCTGTTTTCTGTTGCTTATAACAATACCTGAACGTGGGAAATTTAGAAATAAAAGAGCTTATTTCTTACAGTTATGGAGGCTGGGAAGTCCAAGGTTTAAGGGGCACTTCTTTCTCATATGGACTCTAAAGAATCCCAAGGGGGGCACAGGTATCACATGGTCAGATGGCTAAGGCTGCTAGCTCAGGGCTTTCTCTTAGAAAACCACCAGTTCCCCTCCCATGGTAACCCATTAATACATTAACCTTTGACTCCATTAATTCATGAATGAGCTAATTCATTCATGAGCACAGAGCCCTTATGATCACTTCTGAAAAACCCCACCCACCCCCACCTTTTTTTTACAACAGGGTCTCACTCTGCAGCCCAACCTGGAATGCAATGGTGCAGTCATGGCTCACTGCAACCTTGATATCCTGGGCTCAAGGGATCCACCTGCTTCAGCTTCTCAGTAGCTTGGACCACAGGCATGTACCACCATGCCCAGTCAATTTACTTAATTTTTTTGTAGAACCATGTTCTCGCTATCTTGACCAGTCTGATCTTGAACTCCTGACCTCAAGCAATCCTGCCTCAGCCTCTCAAAGTGCTGGGATTATAGGCGTGAGCCACTGCACCCGGCCTGGGATTAAGATTTAACGTGAGTTTTGAAGAGGACAGATATTCAAATCCTAGCAGTATGGTTTACAAATAAGAAAATGTATATCGTAAGTGTATAGTATTAATACATGAGTTTGGACAAATGTTTGTAATCATCACCACAATCAAGGTGTAGAGTGTTTTGGTCACCCCAGGAAGTTCCCGTGTGCTCTATTGCAGTCACTCTCTTCCCTAACTCCCACCCCAGGCAACCCCCAATCCAATTTCCATCACTACAGGTAAGTTTTGCTTGTTTTAGGACTTTATATGTTAATGGAATCATACATTTTTGTGGCTGGATTCCTTGACACAGCAAAATTTTTTTTTTTTATATTCATTCAAGTATTTGCAATTCTTCACTCCTTTTTATTGCTAATTAGTATTGGTTGCCAAAGTTTATGATTGTTTATTCATTCCTCATTTAATGGACGTTTAGTTGCTTCTCGTTTTTTCACTAATATGAATATATGAACATTCTTAGATAGACTGCCAAATGATTTTCCAAAGGGTTGGTACCATTTTACATTCGTACAAGCAATGTATATGGATTCACTTGCTCTAAATCTTTGCCAACATTTGGTATGCTGGTCTCTGTAGCCATTCCAGTGCTAGTTTTCTCTCCTAGTTTTAACTTAGGATTTCTGATTACTTATGTTGAGTATCTTTGCATTTGCTCTTGGCCTGCTACATCTTTTGCAAAGGATTTAAATCTTTTGTTCATCTATTCTTATTGAGTTGCAGGAGTTCTTTATTTTGGAGACAACTCCTTTATCAGATATTGCTTTTATGACTATTTTCTCTTAAGTCTGTGGCTTCCCTTTCTAATTTATTTGCCTTTGTGTGTGTGTGGGGGGGGGGGGGTATTTTTCTGTACAGACGAAAAAAAAAAAATGTTGTCCAGGCTGGTCTTGAACTCCCAGGCTCAAGTGACCCTCCTGCTTCAGCTTCCCAAAGTGCTGGGATTACAATCGTGAGCCACTGCACCTGGTCTCTTTACAGTTTCTTAACAGTACCTCTTGAGAAGCAGATGTGGCTTTTTTTTTCTTTTTTTGAGACAGAATTTCATTCTGTCGCCCAGGCTGGAGTGCCATAGCGCGATCTCGGCTCAATGCAACCTCCACCTCCTGGGTTCAAACGATTCTTCTACCTCAGCCTCCCGAGTAGCTGGGATTACAGGCTTGTGCCACCATGCCTGGGTAATTTTTGTATTTTTAATAGAGACAAGGTTTCGCCATGTTGGTCAGAGTGGTCTCAAACTCCTGACCTTAAGTAATCCACCTACCTCGACCTCCCAAAGTGCTCGAACTATAGGCATGAGCCACGGCGCCCGGCCTCCTTTCCATTCAGTTTCTTAACCGTACCTCTTGATAAGCAGATGTGACTTTTTGATGAAATCCAATTTATCATTTTTTTCTTTTAAGATTCTTTTTATCATTTCAAATATGTGCCAGTCCCTAGGTAACAAAGATCTGTTTCCTTCTGGATGGCATGCTGTGGGATTAGTATTTGTTATGTCAAATTAGTTTTTGTGTATGGAGTGAGGTAGTGATCAGTAAGATGCATTTCAAGTAAGATGAAGTTACAGCCAGAATACAATAACTCCCTAGAAGTTGGTGGAAGCACCTTCCAATTTTTTTGTTTTTGTTTTTGTTTTTGTTTTTTTGAGACAGAGTCTCACTCTGTCACCCAGGCCGGAGTGCAGTGGCACGATCTTGGCTTACTGCAGCCTCCACCTCCTGGGCTCAAGAGATTCTTGTGCCTCAGCCTCCCAAGCAGCTGGGATTATAGGAACCCGCCACCATGCCCAGCTAATTCTTTTGTATTTTTATTAGAGATGGGTTTTCACCATGTTGGCCAAAGTCAAAAGTGCTGGCTGAATCAACACCTCTGTGTATCCCCACAGTGTCCATGGCTGTTTTCTTCAGGGCTCATGTGGTGTGCTGCAACAGGGTTAGGGGGCAGGTGCACGCTGGTTTGTTGTACCGGTGCAGCAGGGAGACCTGCCCAGGGTCACCGTGGCTCCGGAGTGGAGCAAAGGTCAAAGCTCAGGGTTCACCTCCTCAATCTGCTGTTGTAACTAACACTGTGCCTCTGCAAACTCTCCTGTGCGTCCAAGTCCACCCAGGTAAGGTCTGTTGTGGATTTAGCTGCTCTGAGTCTCTGCTAAAAGGAGCAGCTGATGAATTGACTCTTTCTTTCTACTTTCAGCATCTTCACTGCATGTTTCAAATCGTGAGAGCCTGATAGGCTGAGTTTTGTTTGGGGAAAGTGCCTTTTTGTCCTGTTGTTGTTATTAACACAGTCATTCTCTGTTGTCCAGGTTGGGGTGCAGTGGCGTGATCTCCACTCACTGCAACCTCCACCTCCCGGGTTCAAGTGATTCTCCTGCCTCAGCCACCCAAGTAGCTGGGATTACAGGCACCCACCACCACAACTGACTAATTTTTGTGCTATTAGTAGAGATGGGGTTTCGCTATGTTGGCCAGACTAGTCTTGAACTCCTGACCTCAGATGATCCACCTGCCTTAGCCTCCCAAAGCACTGGGATTACAAGCATGAGCCACTTAAAAAATTTTTAATCTACTTTTAAAAAAATTTTAAAAATTTTTAATCTACTGTTTACACAGTGTTCTTGTACCTTTTTAAAAAGTGATGGAGCTTATAGTAATGGGTGAGGATTACTGCTACAGCAGCAACTTTTAAAAGGACTATCTTGTGATTTGGAATGCATAGAAAATGAAGGGGAAAGGTAAACATCTGGCTTTCACAGGTATGAACTCAGAAAATCGAGTCAATTCATGTCCTCACCTTAGAAGCAGTGGAAGCAAAGGGACGTTTAGAGTGCTTTTTAGAGACCGATAATATTACGAGGTCAAAATGGAACGATAAATGGAAAAAGGACAAAAGGACAGTCTATTCCAGAATAGTACTTTCTTGTGGAGGATGTGATCCTCCGAGACAGCACAGGTGGTTACTGTGTTTATAAGGGACATGTGTTCACATTTAGTCCATTTTTTTCCTCTGCATTTTTTTTTTTCCAGACAGGGTCTCACTCTGTCGCAGAGACTGGAGTGCAGCGGCATGATCATAGCTCACTGCAGCCTCGAACTCCTGGGCTAAAGTGATCCTTTCACCTCAGCCTCCCAAGTAGCTAGGATTATAGGCATGCTCCACCACACCAGGCTAAATCTTTGTTTGTTTGTTTGTTTCATCAACTTTATTTTAAGTTCCGGGGTACATGTGCACGATGTGCAGGTTTGTTACATAGGTGAACGTTTGCCATGGTGGTTTGCTGCACAAATCAACCCATCACCTCTGTACAAGCCAAGCATCCATTAGCCATTCTTACTCCCCCTGCCTCCTCATTCCCCTGGCAGACCCCAGGGCATGGTATTCGCCCCCATGTGTCCATGTGTTCTCATTGTTCCGTTCCCACTGGCCAGGTTGCCGAGAAGAAGAAATGCTTTTACATTGTTGGTAGGAATGTAAATGAGTTCAACCACTGTGGAAGACGGTGTGGCAATTCCTCAAAGATTTAGAAGCAGAAATACCATTTGACCCATCATTCCTGTTACTGGGTATATACCCCAAGAAATAGAAATCATTGTATTATGAAGATACATGAATGTGTATATCTTTTTTTTTTTAAAGAGATTGGGCCTCGCTATGTTGTCCAGGCTGGTCTCAAACCCCTGACCTCAAGCAATCATCCTGCCCTGGCCTCCCAAAGTGTTGAGATTACAGGCATGAGCCACTGAGCCCAGTCTTCCTCTACAACTTGTAACTTAGTGCCATGCCCCATAGTAAGATAGTGTACATTATGATTATGTATTTGTATTTATATATTGCTGACCTAAACAGAAGTTTCGGAAAAAAAAGCTTAGCCTTTCTCTGTAATGCATTCTGATAGTTAACATTTTTTGTACCATTAAAAAAATCCCAACACTTTGGGAGGCTGAGGTGGGCGGATCACCCGAGGAGTTTGAGACCAGCCTGGTCAACATGGCGAAACCCCATCTCTACTAAAAACACAAAACTTAGCCGGGCATGGTGGGTGCCTTTAGTCCCAGCTACTCTGGAGGCTGAGGAAGGGGAATCACTTGAACCTGGGAGGAGGAGGTTGCAGTGAGCTGAAATCGTGCCACTGTGCTTCAGCCTGGGCGAAAGAGTGAGACTCCATCTCAAATAATAATAATAATAATAATAATAATCCTGTTTGCAACCCCATACTAAATTTCCTTGACACCACAATATGAAAATCACTGTTTTAAAATAAACTGAAATTGGATTTTTGTTTTTATTTTTGAGACAAGATCTCACTCTTGCCCAGACTGGAGTGCAGTGGTGCGATCACCACTCACTAACACCTTGATCTCCTGGCCTCAAGTGACCCTCCTGCCTCAGCCTCCCAAAGTGCCGGGTACCATGCTCAGCTTAGAACGGGGATTTTGAGGATATAGCCAGGCTCTCTCAAACAGAAGGTAAGAGGAAAGATAGCTGAACTTGGAATTAGGAAACTGAGGCCAAATCCAGGCTCTGATGTTTGTTAAAGGTGAAAATCAGCACAAACCTTACTACCTCTAGCCCTCCATTTTTCCCCATCTATCCGGTGACAACCATCCCGCCTCCATGTGCCTCATAGAATGCTCAAGGAAAAATTAAATCATTTTCAAAATGTAAAAGTTATTTTAAAAGATTGTGTAAGTAATTCAATTATCATAGTCCTAGTCATAAATGGTAAAGCACTTGTAGAGCTGAGGACCTTTCTGTCCTTTAAGAGATGCAGCTAGGAAGTGAGATCCACTCAGGAAAACCAGGCAGCACTTGAATTTATTCTCAGTGGTGAGGCGTGACTCATGCCCTTCCCTCTGTAAGACTGCCTTCCCTAACTCCTGGATTCTTGCCTGTTCCTGACACTTCTTTTCACCCTTACCCTTCTTCAGGTAGGCTGTAATTGTTTATTTATTCAATTCATTCAGCATCTTCCTGCTATGTATTAGGTGCTAAGTTAGGCACTTAAGACAGAGCGGTGAACCAGGCAATATGATCTGCTCTTCTGGGCTGGCGCTTTAGTAGGGCATGTATTAGATAGGTTTTTTTTCTGCTTGACTGTCCCAACTAAATTGATTTGGACAGCAGTATTAGAACCCTAAAGAGACAAAAAGATAGATCATCCAGCAGGCTTTCAGCAGCCTGTGGATCACTGTAGCAAAGTCATAGGTCTCAGATGCATGGAGAAGATGATGACCTGGATTTAGTGAACAAATCCATGGTCAGCAAAGGTGGAGAGGAGGCTCTGGATATAGAGGCAGCAGATGCCACCGCAGCAAAACCACTCTTCAGAAGATGACCAAGCCTCCGTGATTACCTGTCCCGGACAGCCGTTTCTATAAGATCATTAACAACAAAGAAAGCAAGCACCAGTAAACCCAGCAGCACTCCAGGAAGAAGAGAAAGCCCTGTTTTCGGGACTAAGGGAGTAGGTGAACAATCACTCTAATTTGCCTTTGGCAAAATTTTCACATCGTCAGCATTGCTCACTGATGCTGTAATGCTAGTTTCAAAATCTGATCGCCCTTGTCTCTCTACTGCTTACTCAAGGGCTTTGTTGACATAAACAGCATTTACCCTGTTAAACTTAAGAGAGGAATTATGCAGCTGTCTGGGGTCACCTTGGGAAAGGGTAGGGTGAGTGGCAAGCTGTAATGATGTGACCTAGTAGGTCCTTCCTACCTCCCCAACCCCTAGTAAAGCTCCTCACCCACTGGATACCTGGAATTCCACCCGGGTGACTTGCTATTCTGGAATGAGAATGCTTTTCCTTCTCTCTAGCCTGCTTTCAAACTGTAATTGACCCTAAAATCTCTATACATGAAACCATAATCTTTAGTATGAATGTGTTTATAAATACACATTTTTCCCCTCACTGTGGTTGTCATTAGGTTAATACCAGCAGCTGAGGGGGCCTCCGGAATGTGGGAGAGTGGAGTGGGTGAAAGGTTCCTGACGGGAGTAGGGAGACCTGGATTCAGATCTTGATCATGTGGTTTGAAGCCAGTGTTTAGGCATCTTCCATATGCTCCTCTGGGAATGTGGGGAAATGATATCTATTTTACAGTTATCATGTAGATTTAAGGAGATAGTATGCAGAAAAGCATCATACAACAAATTAGATTCCTTCCTATAAATTTATCTCAGAGGAGTTAACCACATACAGGACCGTCAAAAATCTATAAAAGAGTTACAACAAGGCAAAGCTTGAGCTAAAATGTGGAGGAATTAGTGAATTTCCCTGTGCACATGATAATTCACATGAGATAGCAAGATGTTTTCAAATATAGCCACCATACTATGACTGTTTTTTGTTTTTTCTATGCAGTGACAAATGAGATCCTCTGTTGGGCTTTATGTCTAAAGCTTGAATTTCAAGCAATTTCCTCACTTAAGATCAGGAGTTCAAGACCAGCCTGGCCAACACGGTGAAACCCCATCTCTACTAAAACTATAAAATTATCCAGTCATGGTGGCGGGCACCTGTAATCCCAGCTACTTGGGAGGCTGAAGCAGGAGAATCGCTTGAGCCAGGAGGCGCAGGTTGCAGTGGGCTGAGATCATGCCACTGCACTTCAGCCTGGGCAACAGAGCAAGACTCCATCTCAAAAAAAAATCAGGTTTTCATCACATCAAAGATGCTAAAAAGAATAAGCATCACTTAATTTTCTCTTTGTTTCCATTTGATCAGCCATGGATTGTTACAGAACTTCACCAAGCAATTCCTGGATTTACACCACTGTGATCCTCTGCATATTTGGTTTTTTCTCCATGATGAGACCCTCAGAACCATTCCTTATCCCATATTTATCTGGACCAGATAAAAACCTGACCAGTGAAGAGGTAAGTTAACATACATACGTATCTTAATGTGGTTTTTTAAATTTTACAGGACTTGAACAAGGATACGGGGCTTCCCTCAACTTGAAATAAGATGAACACATTAAACTCAGTGAGCCCGATTTTCATAATATGTGTCACATAAAGAACTTTTCAAACTATTTCCTCCTCATACTTGCAGAAAATTGCAGCCAAAACACATTACATGTGTTAACAAATTTTTAACTCGCATAGAGTGCTAACATTTGTGTTAATGATAGGAGCCTTTCAGGTCTCCATTGATTCTATTATACTAATCCTAAAACAGCATCACTGGCAGGCACAGGATCTAAATCTAAATAAACTCTCAGGCTGCTGAGGGATAAGCAGGATCTCATAAGGAATTGTGGTATTTCTTTATGACACTGTTTACCAGCAGGTGAGCCATTAACAGCTCTATCTCCCAGCCCTTGCCTCCTTCTCTGGAATGCCAGATTCTTTTACTTAAAAGAGCAACGTCTTTCTTTTTTGTTGTTGTTTGAGATGGAGTCTCACTCTGTCGTGCAGGCTGGAGTGCAGTGGTGTGATTTTGGCTCACTGCAACCTATGCCTCCCAGGTTCAAACAATTCTCCTGCCTCAGCTCCTGAGTAGCTGGGACTACAGGCATGAGCCACCATGCCTGGCTAATTTTTGTATTTTTAGTAGAGACAGGGTTTCACCATGTTGGCCAGGCTGGTCTCGAACTTCTAGCCTCAAGAGATTCGCCCTCCTCGGCCTCCCATAGTGCTGGGATTACAGACATGAGCCACTGCCCCCAGCCTCGCATTTCTTTATAAGAAGTACAACAAGAAAATGCACTGACCTAACTGTAACATTACCCTGGGCTGATTTTACAATCTCCAGCCTCAGCCTTGAAAACACTATGTAAAGTGTGTGGCTTCACCTGCAAGGCTAATTGGTGCCTCGGGTGGTGAGGTGGCAAGGACAGAAAGGCAAGCTTGTTCTGTAGTATCAGATCACTTAGGGACAACCGTGTTTCCGAGTTGCTCAGATTGAAGCATGCCACAATGAAGACAACAAAGGACAGATGCAGGGTCAGAAGCAACTCAATGAGTCCACTGGGGTCTGCTTCTGCAGCCACTATGGACCAGTTAATAGACCCTCCTCCCAAGGAGCAGCTCAGTTGTGTGGTCTTTGCTCTGTGGTCTCCTGCTTTCTCCAGCAACCTCAGTGATCCAGGTGTCAAGGTGGGTAAGTTCAGTGATTTGAGAGGTTGCGGCACTCACCCATCATGCCCCACAGATCAGCAACTCCAGTCCTTCCTATTATGAAAATTGATATCCTATGCATTTCTGACTAAATCCATGAGATGATCCATATTAAATTGAGGCATAGACAAATCAGCAGAATGGTTAGGGGGAGACGGGGAAAGGTTGGGAACCTAGCAAATTTGCCCAGGAAGGAAAATGAGATGCATTACTTGCTTCCACTCTATAATGTGGCAAAGTTATTTACTCTTTCCCTATCTTCCCATATCTTTCCAGATGTTGGAAGGACTGAAATATTTGACATCGTGATAGATCACATGAAAATAAAGGCTGTTGGATTCTTTTTGTTGTTGTTGCTGAGATGGAGTCTTGCTCTGTTGCCCAGGCTGGAGTGCAGTGGCACGATCTCGGCTCTCTGCAACCTCTGCCTCCCAGGTTCGACCGATTCTCCTGCCTCAGCCCCCCGAGTAGCAGGGATTACAGGTGTCTGCCACCATGCCTGGCTAATTTTTGTATTTTTAGTAGAGACAGGGTTTCATCCTGTTGGCCAGGCTGGTCTCGAACTCCTGACATCGTGATTCACCTGCCTCCGCCTCCCAAAATGCTGGGATTACAGGCTTGAGCCACCACGCCCAGCCTGGATTCTTTTAACATTATAGTCTACTTGTCTAATGTTAGTATTTGAACAAGAAGGAAATGGTATTTTTTAAGAATCTTGGGCCGGGTGTGGTGGCTCACGCCTGTAATCCTAGCACTTTGGGAGGCTGAGGCGGGTGGATCACCTGAAGTCAAGATTTCAAGACCAACCTGATCAACATTGTGAAACCCCATTTCTTCTAAAATACAAAAATTAGCCGGGCATGATGGCGGGTGCCTGTAATCCCAGCTACTCGGGAGGCTGAAACAGGAGAATGGCCTGAACCCAGGAGATGGTGGTTGCAGTGAGCCAAGATCGGGCCACTGCACTCCAGCCTGGCTGGCTGAGCAAGACTCTATCTCAAAAAAAAAAAAAAAAAGAATCTGAAAAACTTAGAAGTGTCCAAACGCTTTTTAACTCATCTACTCAACTGTACCTACTATTTAAACTTAATATATAATTCAGATTGCACAATAAGCCAATATATTCTTCTACCGGGGTTTATCTAAGTGTATAAGTTGGTTGGTTTTTACCAGTGGGAAAGGAGACTACCTTTTCTTAGTGATTTCCTTGAAAATGAGTTTTCTCGGCCGGGCGTGGTGGCTCAAGCCTGTAATCCCAGCACGTTGGGAGGCCGAGACGGGAGGATCGTGAGGTCAGGAGATCGAGACCATCCTGGCTAACCCGGTGAAACCCCGTCTGTACTAAAAAAATACAAAAAACTAGCTGGGCGAGGTGTCGGGCGCCTGTAGTCCCAGCTACTCCGGAGGCTGAGGCAAGAGAATGGTGTAAACCCGGGAGGCGGAGCTTGCAGTGAGCTGAGATCCGGCCACTGCACTCCAGCCTGGGCCACAAAGCGAGACTCCGCCTCAGAAAAAAAAAAAAAAAGAACATGAGTTTTCTCATTATGTTTCTCCATAACGTGAATAATTTCCAATTGGATGCAGAATTTGAGGTACAAACCACAGGTAGCTTAGTAAAGTACCAGTGCTTCACCGTCATGCAGTGTACTAACTTTGCAGATGACAAATGAGATCTTCCCCGTTTGGACATACTCCTACCTGGTGCTGCTGCTGCCTGTGTTTGTCCTCACCGATTACGTCCGCTACAAGCCGGTCATCATCTTGCAGGGTATCAGTTTCATCATTACCTGGCTGCTGCTCTTGTTTGGCCAAGGAGTGAAGACCATGCAGGTTGTAGAGTTCTTCTACGGGATGGTGACCGCCACCGAGGTGGCCTACTACGCCTACATATACAGCGTGGTCAGCCCCGAGCACTACCAGAGAGTGAGCGGCTACTGCAGGAGCGTCACGCTGGTCGCCTACACAGCAGGGTCCGTGCTGGCCCAACTCTTGGTATCCCTGGCGAACCTGTCATACTTTTACCTCAACGTCATATCCTTGGCCTCTGTCTCCGTAGCCTTCCTTTTCTCACTTTTCCTACCAATGCCCAAGAAAAGCATGTTTTTTCATGCAAAACCCAGCAGAGAAATAAAGAAGTCATCGAGTGTGAATCCAGTATTAGAGGAAACTCACGAAGGTGAAGCGCCAGACTGTGAAAAGCAGAAACCCACATCAGAAATACCCAGCACTTCAGGGAAGCTGCATAAGGGCCAGCTGAACAGCCTGAAACCCAGGAATGTGACTGTGGAAGTTTTTGTGCAGTGGTTCCAAGATCTGAAGGAGTGCTACTCCTCAAAACGTCTTTTCTACTGGTCTCTGTGGTGGGCTTTTGCCACAGCAGGTTTTAACCAGATTTTGAACTATGTTCAAATCCTGTGGGATTACAAGTCACCTTCCCAAGATTCTTCCATCTATAATGGGGCCGTAGAAGCTACTGCGACCTTTGGAGGTAAGCAAATGTCACTTAATCTTCCTTTGTTGGCTTTTCCCCTTTAAGACCGTTTCTCCAGGTACTGAACTTCATGGTGCGAATTAGCTCTGTTCAGAAGGCAGCATAATTTTTTTCAATCAAGAATGAAAGTCACTGGAAAAACAAGAATACCATGATTTTCTACCATATTGTAGTTCCAACAAGTAACTCTTTTTTTTTTTTTTTTTTTGAGACAGAGTCTCGCTCTGTCACCCAGGCTGGAGTGCAGTGGTGTGATCTCAGCTCACTGCAACCTCCACCTCCCAGGTTCAAGCTATTCTCCTGCCTCACCCTCCCAAGTAGCTGGGACTACAGGCGTGTGCCACCACGCCCAGCTAAGTTTTTCTGTATTTTTAGTAGATACGGGGTTTCACCATGTTGCCCAGGATGGTCTCGATCTCTTGACCTCATGATCTGCCCGCCTCAGCCTCCCAAAGTGCTGGGATTACAGGCATGAGCCACTGCACCCAGCCACAACAGGTAACTCTTAGGAGCTCAGGGCTTAGCACCAAACAATGAAATTCTAGTTGAATCCCTAAGATTCCAATTCATCATTAGCACAAAGGTTAATAACGTGCCCTGTTCTTTTAGGATTATTTTTAATATCAAAATATATACATATATGTGTGTATGTTTTTATTATTTTAGAAAATAAATTAAGGATTCCAAATTCTCACTGAGGGTTTCGTTAATACAGGCTTTGAACTAAGTAGCATGCACCTAAAACAGTTCTAGGCTATATACCAACAACTTGCAAAAGCAGCTTTCTCATGGTATTTAAATGAGGGGTGAAAGAGATGTGAAACGCAGGATTTTAATATCAGAGGGAAATCTGTCTTTGAAGTTTAATCTACAATAAATGTTTATTTCCTAATAACTGGAAGCTTAAATGTCAAATGAGACTTTGAAGGTATTTTTTAGGAAGTGAGATTTTGCCCCACCCTCATTTACAAAAGGTTTTAGAAAACTCATGTGACCTCTATTTTATTATTATCTCCCTTTTGGGAAGCTTCAAGTTTAACTCCTGGAAACTAGGACTGTGCCAGAATTGCTTCACTGAAATTGTTGCTCCTACATTCCAAATCCATGGGGGGAAAATAATTATTTTTTTTTCCTCTGTAGTCATGATCATATGTAGGAAAGTTAGTCATATGTCTGTGCAGTACTTTGAAATCTAAATACCTTTTGTTTATTTATTTATTTTAGACAGAGTCTTACTCTGTTACCCAGACTGGACTGCAGTGGCATGATTTCAGCTCATTGCAACCTCTGCCTCCCGGGTTCAAGCGATTCTCCTGCCTCAGCCTCCTGAGTAGCTGGGATTGCAGGCACCCGCCACCATGCTGGCTAATGATTGTATTTTTAGTAGAGACGGGGTTTCACCATGTTGGCCAGGCAGGTCTCTAACTCCTGACCTCAAGTGATCCACGCCCTTCGGCCTCCCAAAGTGCTGGGATTACAGGAGTGTGCCACTGTCCCCAGCCCTAAATACCTTTTACTTTTGTTGAAGAGAACCACACACAAGTACTAACCCTAATTACTGTCAATTATTCAATTTCTTGAACTCTGTCAGTCTATACCGATGTTTTCACCCAAAGTTTCTCAAGTAAATTATGTCAGATGTTGAAGACTTTAGAGTGGAGATTGGAAATAAGACTAAGATTACTAAAGATTCATAATAAAGACTAACACTGGGTGGGGCAAGAAAAAAGACTAAAGCTATCCGTGTAACACATCTGATACTCATCACTGAAAAAGACTTACAGCAAAAACCGAGAAAAGAAGGGCAAATAGAGAGGCCACATGTGTTCCCAGAGAATTGATTTCATCCTTTTCCATCCCTGCATGTTGTGTTGAGTGACTAGGTTAACGTATCATTTCTCCTTACGCTGCCGTGGTTAGGAAGCTTTCTGGCCCCTCTGGAGAGTACAGTGCCTGGTGTATAGTTGATACTAATGAAAAGTGTGATGACTAAGTGACCGAAAGAATAGCAAGTGAAAAGAAAAGCCAGAAGAAGACGTGGTTGAGAAAAGGATAGATCCACATTCAGGTCGATCACACAATTTTGTGAGAGCAATATATTTATCTTTCAGAATTACCCGAGACCTGGGTTTTTAAGAGAGGGCGTTGATGTTTTCTTGCGTGCAAAGTCATTGTGTTTGATTGCCTTCAATGTTTTGTTTTCAGGGGCTGTGGCTGCCTTTGCAGTGGGTTATGTGAAAGTCAACTGGGACCTTCTAGGAGAGCTGGCTCTGGCGGTCTTCTCAGTTGTCAATGCAGGTTCTCTATTTCTCATGCATTACACAGCCAACATCTGGGCGTGCTATGCTGGCTATTTGATATTCAAGTCCAGCTATATGCTTCTTATAACCATAGCAGTGTAAGTTTTACCAACCACTCCTAAAACTGAACTGTATTACTCTCTCTTCTGTCTTCCTAAGCTTTCTCTAAGAACTTCAGAAGGATTTTAGTCAATTGCAATATTAAATGTTGACTACTTTATATTAAATTAGACACAACTAAGCCAACTTTTCGTTTAACTATTTGCTCTCTGAATATTGCTACAATATACCTTTAGTCATCAAGGGAAAAAACTCTGCAGGTTTATAAACCAAAAGCAATGATACATTGTCAGGTTTTTCTTTTTGTTTGGTTTGGTTTGAGAGATGGTCTGGCTCTCTTGCCCAGGCTGGAGTGTAGTGGTGTGGTCACGATCACGGCTCAATGCAGCCTTGACTTCCCAGGCTCAGGTGAGTCTCCAACCTCAACCTCCTGAGCAGTTGGGACGACAAGCATGTGCCACCATACCTAGCTAATTTTTCACATTTTGTAAAGATGGGGTTTCACCATGTTGCTCAGGCTGGTCTCAAACTCCTGGGCTCAAGTGATCCACCTACCTTGGCCTCCCAAAGTGCTGGAATTACAGGTGCGAGCCACTACATCTAGCAACATTGTCAGGTTTTGATTTGTTTATCTCCAGCAACTTTCCACATAAGGTGTGATGTGATCTGCTTTTAAATGGTTAGGTTTAGATTTCATTCCTACTTTCATTTGGTTGCTGGAGAAATTCTAGGCACATACTTTTGTGACACAAAAGATTCTCAGGAAAGTTATTAAAAAGTTGGAGACTAAAAAAAGTAGATGCAAAGATAACAAGAAACCTTTAGCTGCAGTCATATATGGAACCAAGTAGTTTTTCTTTTCTTTCTTTCTTTTTGAGACAGGGTCTCACCTGGGCAGGAGTGCAGTAGTGCAAACATAGCACACCACAACCTTGATCTCCTGGGCTCAAGCAGTCCTCCCAACTCAGCCTCCTGAGTAACTGAAACCACTGGTGCACACTACCATGCCTGGCTAAATTTTCAATGTTCATTTTTGTAAAGACAGAGTGTCGCTATGTTCCCCAGGCTGGTCTCGAACCCCCGGGCTCAAGTAATCCTCTGGCCTCAGCTTCCCAAAATGGTAGGATTACAGGTATGACCCACCTTGCCAGGTCTAGTTCTTAATCATTTTCTAAAAATGATTTCTGGGATTTAGAGTTTCCTATCATTTTTGTTTCTCAGAGATCTCTTTAAGAAAATGATTAAAAAACCATTTGGTTTCATATAAAAGTACAGCTAAAGCTGACTGCAGAAAATATGCTTTGCTATTAACCAAAAGAGATGAGAAACATTTGAATTTCAAATTGCATGAAAGAAGTGGAGACAACAGCTTCATCGAGTTTTGGTTTTAATTTGTGAAAAAAGTGTTTTATAAACAATTTACCACACAGAAATATGAGCACTCTGGGGAAAAAATCATCAAAGGAAAAAAAAATTAGTTGGTATGTTTATTTTCTTCATGGAAATGTCTTAGTTTAATCAGAATCATGCATCTTAGGTTGCTTTTTTTTTTAATGTGAGGATTTTGTTAAATGATAAAGGATTATATCATTTCTTTGCATTAAAAAAGAAATATTCATGGCTGGGCACAGTGGCTCACATCTGTAATCCCAGCACTTTGGGAGGCCAAAGCAGGTGGATCACCTGAGGTCAGGAGTTCGAGACCAGCCTGGCCAATATGGTTAAACCCCGTATCTACTAAAAATACAAAAATTAGCTGGGCATGGTAGTGAGCACCTGTAATCCCTGCTACTGGGGAGGCTGAGGCAGAAGAATCACTTGAACCTGGGAGGCGGAGGTTGCACATTCTCATCAGCATTTATTGCTTGTCTTTTGGATAATTCTAATTGAAGTGAGATAATATCTCATTGTAGTTTTGATTTCCATTTCTCTGATCAATGATGTCGAGCACCTTTTCATGTATCTGTTTGCCATTTGCATGTCTTTAAAGAGACGTCTATTCAGATTTTTGCCCATTTTTCATCTGATTATTAGACTTTTTTTCCCTATAGAGTTGTTTGAACTCCTTCTATAGTCTGGTTTTTAACCCCTTGTCTCGTGGGTAGTTTGCAGATTCGTTTTTCCATTCTGTGGGTTGCCTCTTTCCTTGGCTGTGCAGGAGCTTTTTAACTTGATGTGATCCCATTTGTCCATTTTTGCTTTGGTTGCCTGCATTTGTGGGGTACTCAAGAAATATTTACCTACTCCAATGTCCCAGAGAATTTCCCCAATGTTTTCTTGTAGTTGTTTCATAATTTGTTTTCTTGTAGTTGTTTCATAATTTGAGGTCTTAGATTTAAGTCATTAATCCATTTGGACTTGATTTTGTATATGGTGAGAAATAGGGGTCTACTTTCATTCATTCTTCTGCATATGGATATTCAGTTTTCCCAGCACCATTTACTGAAGAGGCTGTCTTTTCCCCAATGTATGTTCCTGGCATCTTTGTTGAAAATGAGTTTACTGTAGATGTGTGGGTTCACTACTGGGTTTCTGGGTTCACTCTTCTGTTCCATTGGTCTACATGTCTGCTTTTATGTCAGAACTATGCTGTTTTGGTTACTATAGCTCTATAGTATAATTCAAAGTCAGGTAATGTGATTCCTCCAGTTTTTTTGTTGTTGTTGTTGTTGTTTCATTTTGTTTTGTTTTGCTTAGGATAGCTTTGACTATTCTGGGTCTTCTGTGGTTTCACATAAATTTTAGAATTGTTTTTTCTATTTCTGTGAAGAATATCCTTGGCATTTTTATAGGGATTGCATTGAATCTGTAGATTGCTTTGGATAGTATGGGCATTTTAACAATACTGATTCCTCCAGTCCACAAATATGGAATATCATTCCATTTTGTGTGTGTGTGTCCTCTTCAATTTCTTGTATCAGTGTTTTATAGTTTTCATTGCAAAGATCTTTCACTTCTTTAGTTAATTCTTAGGTATTTTATTTTATCTGTAGCTATTGTAAATAGGATTACTTTTTTGATTTCTTTTTCAGATTGTTCTCTGTTTGCATATAGAAATGTTATGGAGTTTTGTATGTTGATTTTATGTCCTGCAAATATACTGAACTTATTTATCAGCTCTAATAGTTTATTGGTAAGAGTCTAAGTTTTCCTAAATGTAAGATCATATCATCTGCAAGCAAGGATAATTTGACTTGATCCTTTCCAATGTGGATGCCCTTTATTTCTTTCTCTTGTCTGATTGTTCTAGATAGGACTTCCAGTGCTATGTTGAATAGTGGTGGTAAAAGTAGGCATCCTTGTCGGTTTTCTCCCATTCAGTCTGATACTAGCTGTATGTCTGTCATATATAGCTTTTATTATATGGAGTATGTTCCTTCTATACCCAGTTTTTTAAGGGTGTTTATCAGGAAGGGATGTTGAATTGTATCACATGCTTTATTTAGCATCAATTGAATGATCATAGTTTTTGTCCTTCATTCTGTTGATGTGACTTATCACATTGATTGATTTGCATACGTTAAATGATCCTTGCATCCCTGGGATAAATCCCACTTAGTCATGATAGATTATCTTTTTCATGTATTGTTGAATTCAGTTTGCTAGTATTTTGTTGAGAATTTTTGCATTGATATTCATCAGAGATTGGCCTGTAGTTGTTTTTTGTTTTTAATGTGCCTTTGTCTGGTTTTGCCATTAGGGTAATACTGGCCTGGTAGAATGAGTTTGGAAGTGTTCCCTCCTCTGTTTTTTAGAATAATTTGGATAGGATTGGAATTAGTTCTTTTATAGAATTCAGAAGTGAAGCCATTGGGTCCTGGGCTTTCCTTTAGTGGGAGGCTTTTTATTATGTCTTCAATCTCATTACTTGTTATTGGTCTGCTCAGGTTTTGGATTTCTTCATGGTTCAATCTGCGTAGGTTGTTTGTATCTAGGAATTTATCCATTTCTTCTAGATTTTCTAATTTATTGGCATATACTTGATCACAGTAGCCACTGATGATTCTTTGAATTTCTGCAGTATTGGTTTTAATGTCTCCTTTTACATCTCTAGTTTTATTTACTTGGGCCTTCTCTCTTTTTCTTAGTCTGGCTAAAGGTTTGTCAATTTTATCTTTTCTAAAATCCAACTTTTTGTTTCATTGACCTTTTGTATTGTTTTCTTCATTTCAATTTCATTTCTTTCTGCTCTGATGTTTATTATTTCTTTTCTTCTACTAATTTTTGGGTTACGTTTACTCTTGCTTTTCTAGTTCTTTAAGATGCATTATTAGGTTATTTATTTGAGGTGTCTCTTCTTCTTCTTCTTTTTTTTTTTTTTTTTTAAGAGACAGGGTCTTACTGTGTTGCCCAGGCTGGAGTGCACTGGCATGATCATCTCTACTCACTGCAACCTCTGCCTCCTGGGCTCAAGTGATCCTCCTGCCTCAGACTCCTGAGAAGCTGGGACCACAAACGTGCACCACCACGCCTGGCTAATTTTTTGTATTTTTGGTAGGGACGGAGTTTCACTATATTGACTAGGCTGGTCTAGAACTCTGGAGCTCAAGTGATTCATCTGCCTCAGCCTTGCAGAATGCTGGAATTACACACATGGGCCACCACACTCGGCCTCTCTTCTTTTTTTATGTAGGCACTTGTAACTATAAACTTCCCTCTTAGTACTGTTTTCACTGTGTCCTATAGGTTTTGGCGTGTTGTGTTTCCGTTATCATTTGTTTCAAGAAATTTTTCAATTTCTCTCAATTTCTCAATTTCTTCATTGACCCACTGGTCATTCAGGGGCATATTGTTTAATTTCCATGTGTTTCTATAGTTTCCAAAATCCCTCTTGTTGATTTCTAGTTTTATTCTATTGTGGTCAGAGACAATGTTTGATATTAATTATTTCAAATTTTTGAATATGTTTTAAGAGTTGTTTTGTGACCTAACATGGTTTATCCTTGACAATGATCCATATGCTGAGAACAGTATGTATTCTGTGGCCAATGAAAAGTTCTGTAAATATCTATTAGGTCCATTTTTTCTATAGTACAGATTAAGTCTGATGTTTCTTTATTGATTTTCTATCTGGAAAATCTATCCAGTGCTGAAAGTGGGGTTTTAAAGTCTCTAGCTATTATTGTATTGCATTCTCTTATCTCTTTCTAGTTCTAATATTTGCTTTATATTTTTATATATATTTTTATATATTTTTTTATATCCTCAATTTTTATATCCTCTTGCTGAATTGACCCTTTTATCATTGTATAATGACCTTTGTCTCTAGTTTCTGTCTTGAAATCTATTCTCTCTGCTATAAGTATAGCTACAAACCCTGTTTTTCTGTTTATTTCCATTGGCATGGCATACCTTTGTCCATCACTCCATTTTCAGTCTATGTATGTCTTTATAGGTAAAATGTATTTCTTGTAGGCAACAGATCATTGGGTCTTTCTAAAAATCCATTCAACCACTCTCTTTTGAAGAGTTTAAACTGATACGTAAGGACTTACTCCTGTTATTTTGTTATTTCTTTTCTGGTTTTGTGGCCTTTTTCCTTTTCTTTCTTCCTTTTAGTGAAGGTGGTTTTCTCTGGTGATATAATTTAATTTCTTTTTTACTTTTTGGGTATCCATTGTATGTTTTTCAATTTGAGATTACCGTGAGGCTTGCAAATACTATCTTATAACCCATGATTTTAAGCTGGTAACAACTTAAGACTATTTGCATAAACAAACAAGCAAAAAGAAAACTAATAAAAACTCTACAGTATAACTTTGTCCTCCTGCTTTTTAACTTTTTGTTGTTTCTCTTTATATCTTATTGTACTGTCTTGAAAATTTGTAGTTACTATTTTTGATTGGTTCATCTTTTAGTCTTTCTACTTACAAGAGTAGTTTATACACCTGTTGCAGTGTGATAATATTCTGTGTTGTTCTATGTGCTTATTATCACAGGTGAGTTTTGTGCCTTTACATGTTTTCTTATTGCTCATGAACGTCCTTTTCTTAGAGATGGAAGTACTCCCTTTAGCATTTCTTGTAGGACAGGTCTGGTGTTGATGAAATCCCTCAGCTTCTATTTGTTTGGGATGGTCTTTATTTCTCCTTCAGGTTTGATATTTTCACTGGATATACCATTCTAGGGTAAAGGTTTTTTGCCTTCAGCACTTTAAATATGTCATGCCACTCCCTGGTTCTAAGTCTTTTCTAAGACTGAAAAGTGTGCTGCCAGACATGGGGCCTCTATTGTATGTTATTTATTTCCTTTCTCTTGCTCCTTTTAAAATCTTTTTTTTTTTTTTTTTTTTGAGAAGGAGTCTTGCTCTGCAATCCCGGCTCACTGCAACCTCCACCTCCTGGGTTCAAGTGATTCTCCTGCCTCAGCCTCCTGAGTAGCTGAGATTACAGGCACACACCACTACGCCTGGCTAATTTTTGTATTTTTAGTAGTGATGGGGTTTCACCATGTTGGCCAGGATGGTCTTGATCTCTTGACCTTGTGATCCACCTGCCTTGGCCTTCCAAAGTGCTAGGATTACAGGTGTGAGCCACAACGCCCAGCCTAGAATCCTTTCTTTATCCTTAACCTTTAGGAGTTTGATTATTAAATGCATTTAAGTAGTCTTCTTTGGGTTAAATTTGCTTGATGTTCTGTAACCTTGTCCTCGGATATTGATATCTTTCTCTAGTTTTGGGAAGTTCTCTGATATTATCCCTTTGAATTAACTTTCTACCTCATCTGTTTCTTTACCTCCTCTTTAAGGCCAATAACTTAGATTTTCCCTTTTGAGGCTATTTTCTAGATATTGTAGGTGTGCCTCATTCTTCTTTTTTCTGTTGTCTCCTGACTGTATTTTTAAATAGCTTGTCTTCAAGCTTGCTAATTATTTCTTCTGCTTGATCAGTTCTGCTGGTATGAGATTCTGATGCATTCTTCAGTATGTCAATTGCATTTTTCAACCCCAGCATTTCTGCTTGATTCTTTTTAATTATTTCAATCTCTTTATTCAGTTTATCTGACAGAATTCTCAATTCCTTGTTTGTGTTATCTTGAATTTCTTTGAGTTTTCTTAACACAGCTATTTTGAATTCTGTGTCTGAAAGGTCGTATATCGGTTTCTCCAGGATTGGTCCCTGGTGCCTTATTTAGTTTGTTTACTGAGAACATGTTTTCCTGGATGATCTTGATGCTTATGGATGTCCATCAGTGTCAGGGTATTGAAGAGTTGTATTTATTGTAGTCTTTGCTCTCTGGGCTTTTTTGTACCTGTCCTCCTTGGGAAGGCTTTCTAGGTATTCAGAAGGTTTTGGGTGTTATGATCTAAACTTTGTCTGCATTAGGGAGCACCCCAAGCCCAGTAACACTGTGGTTCTAGCAGACTCTAAGAGGTACTGCTTTGGTGATCTTGGATAAGATCCAGAAGAATTTTCTGGATTACCAGACAGAGACGCTTGTTATTTTCCCTCACTTTCTCCTAGATAGTCTCTCTCTTTCTCTTTGCTGGACTACCTGGAGCTGGAGGTGGGTGACACAGGCCCCCCACTAATTTCTATCTTTTGAAGACTTCCACCCATGTTATGGTTAAAATGCTTATTTATGTTTAATGATAGATTTCAGATTGCAGTTAATCTGAGTGTGGAACGCTATGCCCTGGTATTTGGAATCAACACCTTTATTGCCTTGGTGATTCAGACCATCATAACTGTGATTGTAGTAGATCAGAGAGGGCTCAACTTGCCAATCAGCATTCAGGTAAGCTGTAATACTTCTGTTTTCAACTAGGTAACCTCAAAGGTTTCCCAACCTTGCAACAAGCAATATTTAAATTTCTTGAGTTCCTTGGTTAAGCAAATTTTAATATATACAACTCCTTAATTATCATACTGTAACACACCAAGTATGTTTTGAGCAATAATTGCAACTAGGACAACATTTACCTGGATAATGCAGGTAAGAAGTAACTTCAGTGCTTAAATTTATTCTTGGAGACATTGAATGTAACATTGCACCAGCCTCCAAACAAAGACATAGAGACAAATTAATGAATTTTAGTGTTTTTTTGTTTTGTTTTTTACTATTGATGATAGTAGCTATGATTTTAACCCAAGCAACCTGCTCTGAAGCCAAGACTCTTAGTCACTGTATTGCTTACATCTTCTTACTTGATCTTGATTTCTTACTTGATCTTGATTTCTTACTTGATAGGACAGTATTGTTCAACCTAAATGACCCCACATTAAAAACCTGGGTCTCAGTTAACCCATAATCCAAGCAAACCAACAGTATTATGTTGTATTATCATTGACATAGATGGTCATATTTTATATGTGGCTAATTATTTGTTTTTCTCCAGTTTTTAGTTTATGGGAGCTATTTTGCAGTAATTGCTGGAATTTTCCTAATGAGAAGCATGTATATTATCTATTCAACCAAATCCCAGAAGGATGTACAGAGCCCTGCTCCAAGCGAGAATCCAGATATGTCTCACCCAGAGGAAGAGAGTAATGCCATCATGTCAACAAAACTCTAACCTCATTGCAATAATTGCAGCAGTGGCTTTTAAAGCTATGCAATAATAAGGAAGGATTTTAAGATGGGTGGCATATGTTTTGCCATAACTTGACATGCTTTTTGCAAATCGGGATTCCAATGGACCTTTCAAAACCACAATGAAACCTCAGCTTTAGACGAGTTCTCTATCTGCCCAATTTTACTGGATGCAATTGACAGAACCCATCGTCATAATTAAACAACCCATATTGGGGACCCCCCTGTGACCAGTAGCAGCTGGAAAATTCTGGTTTTTCTCACTTGTACGGACATGCAGATGGTGTGGAACCAAACCATGAGAAAACTCCAGCCATCCTGGAGTTGGTATTCACCATTTGTGGGGAGAAACACTAACTGGACGGACCCTATTGCTTGGCTTAAATACTTGTTTGATCTTACCAAAGAAGTCAACGCATGGGACCTTTTTGTCAAAAGATCCATTTTGTTTCTTCTTCTAATAAGTGTATTTCTGTTTAAGTTATAGTTCTCCAAGAGAATTACAAGGTTTATCCCATTTCTAAGGGCTTGTCTTCAACTCTGATAACAGCATTATTCACAAGTTATGATTTGATAGTATTATTATTTAATTTTTTATGATTATTTTCCATGTTGTGCTCTGAGTTTTGCTGTTGAAAGTCTACCTCAAGAATAGCTCCAGACCCTCTTGTGTATTTGCAGAATGACACTCAGGTCATTTCCCAGTGGCCTGGGAGAGGTAGGGAGCCTTCTCTCCACCACCATATAGAGGTGTTAATGCATCTATGGGCCAGGTGCAGTGGCTCACTCCTGTAATCCCAGCAATTTGGGAGGCCAAGGTGGGAGTTTTGCTTGAGGCCAGAGGTTCAAGACCAGCCAGGGCAACACAGTGAGACCTGACTCTACTAAAAAATTTAAAAATTAGCTGGGCAGCATGGTGTGTGCCTGTAGTCTCAGCTACTTGGGAGGTCATGGGGGGAGGATGGGTTGAGCACAGGAGTCAGAGGCCGCAGTGAGCTATAATTGCACCACTGCACTCCAGCCTGGGCAACAGAGTAAGACTCTCATCCCCCTCTCCCAAAAAACAGCACCTGTGTGATGTCTGTCTAAAATAGGAACACTTAAAGGAGGTTTCTAGAAGTATTAGAAATAAGAAAACACTGATGGAGGGAGTGGAATGAAACACCTGTTTTTTGTTTGTTTGTTTGTTTGTTTTGAGACAGAGTCTCACTCTCTCACCCAGCCTGGAATGCAGTGGCGTGATATTGGCTCACTGCAAACTCCACCTCCTGGGTTCAAGCCATTCTCCTGCCTCAGGCTCCTGAATAGGTGGGACTATGGGTGCGCACCACCATGCCTGGTTAATTTTTATATTTTTAGTAGAGATGGGGTTTCACCATATTGGCCAGGCTGGTCTCAAATTCTTGACTTCAGGTGATCTGCCTGCCTCGGCCTCCCAAAGAGCTGAGATTACAGATGTGAACCATCATGCCGACCAAAACACCTAATTTTTAAATGGCAGCAATTGTGCTACATAAAATGTGTCAACATTTTAAAGAGTTTTTAACATTTTTTTGATGAATTCTGCTGAAAATTATCTGAACATACCTGTTTTTCGAAACTTCAAGAAGGGATGCATTGAGCAGTCTGACAGTGAGAATAAAGAATGCTGAGTCAAGATTTATATCAGGGCTGGCAGCTGTGGCTCACACCTGTCATCCCAGCAATTTGGGAAGCTGAGGTGAGAGGATAATTTGAGGGTCGGAGTATGAGACCATCTTGGCCAACATAGCAAGACCCTGTCTCTAAAACAAATCAAAAAAATCTTTAATTGCATTTTGATATGGTTTGGATCTGTGTCCCCACCAAATCTCATGTTGAAGTGTAATCCCCAGTGTTAGAGGTGGGGCCGGCTGGCAGGTGACTGGATCATGGGAGTGAATCCTTCATGAATGGTTTAGCACCATCCCCTCAGTGCTGTTCTCATGACAGCGAGTTATCGCAAGATCTGGTTGTTTAAAAGTGGGTAGCACCTCCTCGCTCTCTCTTTCTCCTGCTTTGGCCATGTGAAGATGCCTGCTCCCACTTTGACTTCTGCCATGAGTAAAAGCTCCCTGAGGACTCCCAGAAGCAGATGCTGCCATGCTTCCTATATAGCCTGTGAGCCAATTAAACGCCTTTTCTTACAAATTACCTAGTCTTAGGTGTTTCTTCATAGCAATGTGATAATGGACTAATATGTTTCTCAACTATACTTCTCTCCAAATCCCCAAATTCATTCACTGGACTAAGATCCAGCCCAAGAACCAATGCACTCACTTAGTGGAGAAAACGGGTAACATTCCTACTTACATTGAAGGCAAGGAAGGAATGGCTGCTATTCTTCTTTTTTTTGATAGAATCTTGCTCTGTCACCCAGGCTGGGGTGCAATGATACAATCTCAGCTCACTGCAACCTCTGCCTCCCGGGTTCAAGCAATTCTCCTGCCTTAGCCTCCTGAGTAGCTGGGATTATAGGCGCCCGCCACCCTGCCCAGCTAATTTTTGTATGTTTAGTAGAGATGGGGTTTCACCATGTTGGTCAGGCTGGTCTCGAACTCCTGGTCTCAGGTCATCCGCCTGTCTCAGCCTCCCAAAGTGTTGGGATTACAGGCGTGAACCACCTTGCACTCAGGCCATTATCCTTCTTTTTTAACGTATTATACTGGAGGTGTTAGGCATCACAATTCGACAAACAAGAAAAATCAGAAGTCAAAAATTGGAAAGGAGGCCAGGTGCAGGGGCTCACGCCTGTAATCCCAACACTTTGGGAGGCTGAGGCGGACAGATCACATGAGGCCAGGAATTGTAGGCAAGCCTGGGAAACATGGTGAAACCCCGTATGTACTAAAACCAACAAAATTAGCCGAGTGTGGTGCATGCCTGTAATCCCAGTCACTCGGTGGCTGAAGCATAAGAATCACTTAACCCGGGAGGCAGAGGTTGCAGTGAGTTGAGATTGTGCCACTGCACTCCTGCCTGAGCGACAGAGTGAGACCCAAAGGGGACAAAAAAAATGCATTATGATTCATTCGCATATTCACCTATAACAAAATTAACTGCTAAAAAATGAGGAAGATCTTTAGTGACACAGAACTCTAAGAGCTCTATTATCAAGTGGAAAAAAGTCAAGCACCAAAGTAATAATGAATGCAACTCGGCATTTGTATAAAAAGGAGAAAAACATCTGTATTGGCTTACATATGCATATAACTTTTCTAAAAAGACAAATGAGGCCAGGCACGGTGGCTCATGCCTGTAATCCTAGCACTTTGGGAGGCTGAGGCAGGTGGATTGCTTGAGTTCAGGTATTCGAGACCAGTCTGGGCAACATGGTAAAACCCTGTCTCTACCAAAAATACAAAAATTAGCTGGGCATGGTGGCTTGCACCTGTACTCCCAGCTACTTGAGGAGGATGAGAAAGGAGGATCGCTTGAGCCTGGAGGTGGAGGTTGCAGTGAGTTGAGATCGCGCCACTGCACTCCAGCCTGACAGAGTGAGACCCTGTCTAGAACAAACGAACCAACAATCAAACAAATAAATCAATAAACAAATGAAACTCATACCAATGATTGTCTGCTGTGGAGTAATGGGAAATGGGAGGGAGACATCACATTCTCTGGCATCTGATGCTTGCACCAAATGAATAACCCACCAGTAAATTAAAATACTACTTTTACAAAAAAGCATTTAACCTCTTGGGAAATAAATCTGCATTGAAGAATAAGGAGCTGGAGATTTGCTATGCAACCATTATAGTGGTTTTATATTTTTGGTAATGTGAATGAATTACTGAATGTGCATTTATAATTAAAAGGAACAAACAACAGAAGAAAAAAATAAGTAGGCCTGGTCAGGCACCATGGCTTATGCCTGAAATCCCAGCACTTTGGGAGGCTAAGGTGGGAGGATTGCTTGAGCTCAGGAGTTCAAGACCACCCTGGGCAACATAGTGAGACTCTGTCTCAAAAACATTAATAATAATAATTAGACCTGATACTGAAAAATTAAATTAAAATTTTTTATTTGGTATCTCATTAATGAAAAAAAATTTTTTAAATAACGACCCCTCATATAAGCACCAGTCACTTTGGGGTGTCATTTGATGATCAATCCCAACTGTGATTCCTCAGTCAGGAAAGAGCCTCATAGGCATATGAAACTGGTTCAAAGTCAAGCACGCAGGAAATAGTGAAGGTGCAATTTGAATTCAAGTATGTCTGACCACTGTGGTCTTTCTATGATACCACCCTGCTCTATACTCAACACAGGAGAGTATTGTATCCATTCATGAAAGATAAAATCCAGAGTGGGGTCCCTATTTCCCCGGTCCATGGACTGGTACTGGTCGGTGGCCTGTTAGGAACTGGGCCGCACAGCAGGAGGTGAGCGGCAGGTGAGTGAGCAAAGCTTCATCTGTATTTACAGCTGCTCCCCATCGCTCACATTACCACTTGAGCTCTGCCTCCTGTCAGATCAGCGGAGGCATTAGATTCTCATAGGAGTGGGAACGCTGCTGTGAGCAGTGCATGCTGGGATGTAGGTTGCATGCTCCTTATGAGAATCTAATATCTGATGTCTGTCACTGTCTCCTATCACTCCCAGATGGTACCATTTAGTTGCAGGAAAACAAGCTCAGGGCTCCCACTAGTTCTACATTATGGTGAATTCCATAATTATTTCATTATATATTACAATGAAATAGTAATAGAAATACAGTGCCCAAGGCCAGGCACAGTGGCTTACGCCTGTAATCCCAGCACTTTGGGAGGCCGAGGCAGACAGATCACTTGAGGTCAGGAGTTTGAGGCCAGCCTGCCCAACGTGGTGAAACACCATCTCTACTAAAAATACAAAAATTAGCCTAGCATGGTGGCGGGCACCTGTAATCCCAGCTACTCGGGAGGCTGAGGTACGAGAATTGCTTGAACCTGGGAGGCAGAGGTTGCAGTGAGCCAAGATCGTGCCGCTGCACTCTAGCCTGGGTGACAGAGTGAGACTCTGTCTGAAAAAAAAGAAAAAAGAAAAGAAATACAGTGCACATTAAATGCAATGTGCTTGAATCATCCTGAAACCATCCCCTCTACCCAGTCTGTGGAAAAATTGTCCTCCACAAAACCAGTCCCTGGTGCCAAAAAGTTTGGGGACCACTAACCAGCAAAATGTCAACTTATAGGATTGCAGGGAAATTAAGTGTTGTGAATTTTAAAGTATATTTTAGAATAACTCAGGAGTAGCTAGAAAACATTTTGATCTAAAGGATTTTTATATTTCAAAAGTTTCTTACATAACTGCCCTTTACTGGGCACCATAAAATCAGTGACAGTTGGCGAGGTGTGGTGGTTCATGCCTGCAATCCCAGCACTTTGAGAGGCGAAGGCAGTAGGGTTGCTTGAGGCCAGGAGGTCAAGACCAGCCTGGACAACATAGTGAGACCAGGTCTCTACAAAAAACTTTTAAAAAATTTTGCTGGGTGTGAGTCTGTAGTCTTGACTACTCAGGAGGCTGAGGCAGGAGGACCATTTGAGCCCAGGAGTTTGAGGCTGCAGTGACATATGATTTTGCCACTGCTCTTCAGCCTGGG